CCCCCCCCAAACTCCCCCATCCCCAAAAATGTCTCAGCGGATTTGGGCTGTACTCAGCAAGCACAGTACAGCTTCCAACTCAGATCTGAAAAAGAATTAGTGGATGGCTGTTTTCTGACTGGTCGGCAGACCGCCGACCGGTCAGGCCTACTGGTCGGCTGCAAAACGGTTGGCAGTCGGGGTCGGCGGTCGGCAGCTATGCAACCCTGTCTGTTTTTCAAACAAAAAAAAAAAAAAAAAAAAAGGATCGGAGGTAGTGGTGGTTTAAACTACCACTACCTTTCCAAGCTGTAGTCCCATTTGGGAAAATGACCTCATCCGAAAAGTTCGGGGGTCCAGCGTAGGGTCGGTAGGAAAGAAAAAAAAAAGATTCGGACCCCGCAGTCCCGCAGTGAGAAAAAAAAACAAAAAAAACTAAGAACATTGAAACCAGCTACTTCAGGGAAGGCCCTCACGAGGTGGAAGTCACACCAGTGCTCTGGGAAACGTGATCGCTGATGTTTTGGTTTTTGTTTTCCTTCTTTTCGTTTCTCGTTGGTGCCCTGGCCGAGAGGCTGGGCGGATTCCACTGGGGGCAGCCAACTGCCTCACTCATGTCATACTCACACCTGCACTCTAGCATCCTGTATTGGACCGCAATAGCATCATAGCGGAAGTTTTCTTTTTTTGTCCTTCATTCGTTTTTCATAGGGACATATGCCCTCACTGAGGGCACAGTCTCACCAGCACCTCATAGAATGTATCTGATGGCTATCACGGTGTGTGGGGAAGTTTCTTTTTTCTTTTCTTCTTCTTTTTTTCTTTCTTTCTTTCTTTCTTTTTTTCTTTTCTTTTTTTTTCTTTTTCTTTTCTTTTTCTTTTTTTCTTTTTTTCTTTTTTTCTTTTTTTCTTTTTTTCTTTTTTTCTTTTTTTCTTTTTTTCTTTTTTTCGTTCTATTTGGGATGTAATGGCCGTGAGTACCAGTCTAGAAATAAGAATGGGACCCAGGCTCGGCAAACTCGATGCGCAAAGAAATTCAGTTTGGCAAAAACAGGATCCGAGGTAGTGGTGGTTTACGGGAAAAGAAACAAAGAAAAAGGTCAGGAAAATCTTCCCAAAGCCATCATTCTCACCTGCCCTTCAGGACCAAACAAGTCGTCCATGCACTCTCGAAGTGTTCCCGACCTCACACCTGTCGTGGTCCCGCTGCAGTCCACCACAAAAACTGGCCGCCGTCCAGAGAGAAAGCCCATCGGGACTGGTGCAATAGGCTCCTGAAAAGCTGGAATTTTCAGGTAATCCGGTTGTTGGTATTCTGGCAAATTGTCGATCAACACAGGGAATGTGAACTCAGGGAGTGGGTCATCAATTGTGTCGACAAACTTGGGCTCCTCTATCAACTCCCTGGTTGGCTTGGAGGGTATCTCAAGGAGTTCAGGTGGTTTTGCCTTGCAAGCGTCAAACGCACCATTCCTGCCACAACGGCCTCCACAAGTCACGATGCTATCACTGTCCAAGGAACTTCGGCGGCTGGATTTGCGGCTGAGAGGACGCGAACCTGATGGGTCATCGAGCTCTCCCTTTGTTGCAAGCTCAGTTTCAAGCACATTCAAGTACCCTTGCTTCTTCAGCGCCCGACGATCGAAGTAGGTGAGTTCACAGGGATCCGGCTCAAGAGAAGGAGATTCATAAGGCGGGGCCGGGAGGTAAAAAACCGTATCCTCCTTGAACGTAGGTTCAGCTTGTAGGGTAGGGGGATTGGGAAAATCCTCCAGAGCAGGGTTTTTCCAATTGGGTTCAGGCAGGTCATCCGGGGCAACATACGTTGGAAAGGGTAGATCTCTCGGAGGAGCTTTGCTAATACTCTTTTCATCGTACAGTGGCGGCTCTGGCAGCTTCAGGGGAGGAGGTTGAACGGGCAGTGGTGCTTCATATGTGGGGTGCTGCTCAAACTCAGGAGGTTTGAACTCAGGAATCACCAAGTGCGCAGGAATGTCCTCCAGGGGAATGGGCAGCAGTTCCTCTTGTGGAACTATGGGTGGAGGAGGGAGCTGCTCCAGGGTAGGAATGTCAAATGCTGGCAACTCCCGAACACTGGGAGCAACCCATGCTGGCACTGGCTGCACCCACATACAAAATCCACAAGCCAGCAAAAAAACAAGGAAGCAAGCAGAGAAGCAAGTAAGCAAATCAACATCATGAGGACTGTACTAGACTGATGCTTCCCATTATAGACTGGATTCACCAACATACGTTTTTTTCCTTTCTGATAAAACAGGACCTTATGGGCCTGGCTCCACATTGATTCGGGGGAGCGTCACTCTGGTTCCCATTCCACCAGCAGGTCAAAGTTTACACTTCCTTCAGTTAAACCACCAGTTCACAGGAACCTAAGTAGTGCTCTTAGCCTATTACTGGTATACGCGGCAAGAGCAGTAGGTTCAGGGCTGAGCCAGTAGCAAAAGTGGCAGGCCACTTTGAAAAGGCGCGGTTGCAGGCTCGTTAGCCTTGGTGGGCAGCTTCGTGAACTTATGCTCGTCTGAACTGTTGGGGTTCCCAGGATGACATTGATTCGTCCTCGTCGAGGAGGATTGACTGTCACACAGCCTTCGCTTCTTGCACTCCTCTCAGTCTCTGGTACGGGAAGACCATCAAACTAACACACCCATCAAGAGTCATGGACTGCCAAGCCCATACCGGAGAACAAAGATGCTAGAGACTGCCTGAAGGCTTCCCACAAGCTCTATGATGAGCCCACTCCTACTGCTTTCTTCCGCCGATCTGAAAGGTCCCCGTGTGGAAATTCTTGTTCTTATGTACGGGGAATAGCTCTTGGAAAGCCTTATCCTTCACAGATTTGCCATTTTTCCTGTGCATCTGTGTCGACCCCAGGAGTTGAACCCATGACCTGTGTCTTTCCCCACAGTTGGTAGGTTATCGTAGGTCTGTAGGTTATAGGGGTTCGATCTGTAGACCTGTCGGATAGGAGTCGTAGTGAGTTCTGGAAGTCATAGTTGTAGCTCCTCCGAAGGGTCAAGGTCGTAGCTGCTACAGTCCTGAAGGGTCAAGGTCGTAGCTGCTACAGTCCTGAAGGGTCAAGGTCGTAGCTGCTACAGTACCGAAGGCCAAGTCCACGGTCTTCCGGAAGGTCCGGAAGTGGCCTTTCGGGTACTGCCCACAGTAGACCGAGGCAAGTGGGCAAGTGGCGAAGTCCACCGGTGCTGAGTCAGCGGTACCCAGTCCCAGTCAGTCTCAGTCCAGTCAAACAAGTACCGTGTGGGACTGTGTGCACCAGGGGCATGGGAAAGGGGCAGGCCAACGAGCTACAGAAGTATAAATCAAGAGCCAGCGCCCAGCCATTCATTCATTCCTGCGTAAGCCATGCGGAAGCGCTGCCACAGCGACTTGTGCGAGGTGGTCTGCAGTATGCCCGAAGACGAAGTGGGCGTGAAGGAGAGCTTAGCCATAGCGGTAGAGGTAGTAGCGGCCATAGCCGCCATAGCTGAGAGAAGGGTGTAGTGTGTGAGCGCGTGTGGGATATCCAGGGTGATCCTGTGTGTGAACAGCAGAGTTGGGTGAGGGACGAACAGAGAGTTGTACAGGCGCTGATGTGCCATAGCCATCTGAAGTGAGCTTGAATCTGAACTGTGTTCTTGGTTACTGTATCTCTGAGGTTTGAGAGGGCGCTTGTCGCCAGTTTGCTGCACAACCTGTTTACATGCATGTGGAGTGTGAACGAAAGTGAGTCTGATTGCATTGGTATCGGAGCTGGTACCCGCTATTCCACGGGCCATCGCCGTGTGCTGCAGGGAGAGTTGCGCGCCATAGCCGAAGGCGCCATCGGAGAGGAATTCCGCCATAGCGGATCCACAGGGTGAAGAAGCCGCCGTGCGCACCTGCAAAGAAGACAACGACGAAGGGGAGAGAGAGAGAGAGAGAGAGAGAGAGAGAGA